CGACGAAAACCCAATCCCGATGGCAAACACCGAGTGGGGGGCTTGTTTTATAACGTCGTCGCCAAGCGACGAAAACCCAAACCCCGATGGCAAACACCGGGGGGGGCGGCGGAGGGGGAGGGGGAAAATCATCGACGTGTCTGAGGGCCTGTTTTAACGGTAATATTTGCCACCTAGATAGAGGCCCTGCAATAACTAAGTTTGGGGGGGTATCAGGGGACAAAGACGCTGATTGGTCAACGGGGAAAAACACGATGAGGATTTCTCAGAAAAGTGGTACTTCGACATTGGGTACAGCAAAAAATAACTGCAAATTGAATTATTTTTTGCTGGATCACAGTACCCGAGTTTTGGACTGCGCCCCTTATGCACCCCCATGATGAGGTGAACTCGCGTTGGCGTTACCCCTGACGGGACCGCATGTGGCACACTGGCCATGCGGCACCCACACGTATCGCCCACTGCCCGCTGCTGGGAAATAAGCTGTATTGCAATGATTCTGTGAGTGTGTCAATTTTTCGCGCTGGTTGGGCTGCTGTGGCGGTTGCTTCCCAAAATGTGCGATGTCAAAAGCCAACGGCCAGTTGTGTGCCGCGAGACAATCCAAACAAAGTTGTAGAGCAAACCTGAGGATAAGGCTTGGACCACTGGCATCGCCTGCTGATGCTTAGCTTCGTGTTTGTGCTGACATATTTTTACAGCTCCCGTGTGGTGCCAATTGTCTATCGCTCTTAACTGTTTGGTCACCACGCCACCTCGCGGCAGCGACTCCACCGCATTTGGGTGTTGCTGAGCCTCGATTTGCTTTTGGGGTGTGGCAAAATTACGTTAAAACGACGCAAGCCCTTTTTGGCCAAAAGACCAATTAGGTCCATCCAAATTGGGTGCTCAATTGGGCTTTTAAAATTTAAACCAGGCCCTGATCCGCGTGTGATGGGTGGAGGCAGCCATGCAAATCGTTGGTGATCACCCGGACTACCGGTTTCACCATTTCGAAAAGTGTGGCCTGCTACCGTGGATGATTCAGGCGACGATCGAATGAAGATGGAGGGACTGGGCAAGCCTTACACCGTTTTGGATGCTGGAGACTCCAGCGACAGCGAGGGAACTTCAGAGACTCGCAGCGATGGGTGCAGGGGGGAATTCGGGGTGGGGAGAAAAAAACGGGCGGCGGGGGTGGCGGGGGGCAAAGGGCATGGAGGACGGCGATTCCAGCAGCGAAGATCTTTCTTCCCTCAGTGTGGGCGTTTGTAGTGCTGTTGTGTGTTATGTTGCTGTTGTTGCAATCACGACGTAGCTCGCATTGACGAATGGCTGTTCCAGTAACAGTGGTGACAGTCCTTGGCGGCGTTATTCGCACCCCACTGCCAGAACGACGAGCTGGGCCTTCGAAACGAAGACGACAGCATGGACGCGAACGACGATATTACACGGCATGGAGATCCCGGACGGTTCCCCGTTCAGGCGTCTACACACGCTGCTCTTGACAGTTCGTTGCTTCAACGTGAAGTACTCGTTAGGCTGGGCGTGGGATGTTTTTGTTCGTCATCACACATCAGTCTGTGCATCGCTCCCGTCACCAGGTACAGTACCGTGTCCAGCTCAAACAAACCCAGAGTACGCGAATCAAGTCACTACTGTTTAACAAGCAGTGGAGACCACGATGCCGCGGGTTTTGCTTGAGTAGGACACGGCAAAGCAGATGGATGGTGCTACCATCGGAGCTGAAGCCGCCACGGGTATCAGTTCATCTGGGAGGGAACTACCGTCCATCGTCACCCAAAAAGGCTGAGAAGTTGCACGATGATACCGCATCATTTTTGTTTAGCGCTGCATTGACTTAGACTGATCGCGGAAACTAGGGTTTCCGTTCGGTCAAGGAGTCATGTTGTCCTCAAACATCTCAGGATAGGGAAAACCTCTGTTGAAACGCATATTGGGATGCACTTGATGGTGACGTTCATTCTGTTTGCGCCGATGTGGAAAGAAGCAAGAGATAGGCACAAGAACTGGCAAAATGCAGGAGCTCGGTTTGGGGCAGCCAGTAACCCGCAAGCCTTGAGCAAGATAAGAGGGTCTTCAGCGCGAGCGAGATCTGCATGCGCAAACGCCAATACAGTCCATAAAAAATGTTGAACGCGATACATGTGTAGGTTCAGAGAAGGGACGGAGTGGGGATACCCGACCGTTGGAGAGAATGCTACATATTGCTGGTCACTAACCCTGGACTATGCTTGCCGAAGGTTAATGATACCACAGCACCGACTCTGCCATGTACTTGGAAATACATGTACCAGGTAGTATAATTCCCGTTCTCCGCAGCACTCGAGTGTTACGTACCATGCACTGACGGGAGAGGCTCCTCATATGCCGTGCTACACAAAGAAGATAAAGATTCATACCTAGTCATCTCAGTGCAAAGCAGAGACAAACCAGGTCATTTTGCACGACAACTGCCGGCATGGACAAGTGGGGGGTCAACCTCACCCGTAGGTACTACAGCAATTCGGTGTACTGAGCTCTGAAGAGGTGCAGCGGTTCAAGGTAACGTGCATGTATCATCTCCGTATCATACGGTCTATGCGGACGGTCTTGCAGTATTGTGAAGCTGCTGTAATGCATACCTGCAAAAAATTGTAACGCTTTGTCAATTCCAAGGGCCTCGTTCACGCCGGCACCAAATGCTATTGCTCCGATGGTTGCCGCAGCTGTGGTGGCTATAGCAGCACCATAGCGATCAGGATCCGCTCTCTCCACCATGGTTGTGGTAGCCCTTGCGTTCTTCCCACGGCCGCCGTGTCCGCTGCTGCTGAGTCGTCCCACACCGAACCTCTCCCCTGATCGACGTACATCGCCATAGCTTCTAGGGCAGGTTACTGTCAATGGCCGGAAACCCCTCGCTAAGTTAAAGGCCGAGCAAAACTTGAGGGCTACGCATAACAGCAACACGACGGCCTTCATGTGTCAAACGCCGTGTGACGGTCACGTGGCAAGTGCAGGTGTGTGTCACACGACACACGACACGAACAGTCAGCCTTTGGAGGCGTGTTGCCGGGGGGGGGGGAGCGCATCATGTTCTTGGAAAAAAAAAAAATGAACCAAAAACGAACCTAGACATGGACTTCGTTGTACTTGTTGCGCCGGCGTCATGGTACATCGTACCGACCAACGGAGCATGGAAATATGAGAGTCAAGACCGCTGTCTCCTGTTCCCCGAGAGTAAAGATCACC